CCAGAAATGAAAATTTTACTGGAAGATCCCCGCCGAAAAATGTGTATTTTACCCCCGGAATGCGATTTTTACTGGGGAACCCCCTCGAAACGCGATTGGACTAGTTTTATTGCGAAAACCTGGCAACCCTGTTCATAGGCGCCACCTGCTGTCAGAGAGTGCGTCTCATTCAGACCTGCTGTTTTTGTTTCGTGCAGATGTTTTATGTAGCAAATAAATAAATAACACCTAAAGTCAGACCATTCTGTTTTTGTTTTAAATCCTGAAATTAATCTAAATCAAATCAAAAACAACTGCCCGTGCAGATCGTGATTAAAATGCAGTGGTTGCCTCTAATTTCAAATGGCTAGATATTTTTGTTTAAAGCCAGTTGGTTTGTTATAAAGCAAATAGCCAATAAATAAATGTGCTTAAAAATCAGTATCAGTATCAGAATTCAATTTGCTAGTAAAAAAAAAAGAAAATCTGAATTCTGAATCCGCTGTGATCGGCGCATCACTAATTAAAATACGAAGTAAAAGGCCTCAAATTTGAAGTATCTGGCATGTCTTTTTCTATCAATTCTTCAATAGGTAGATCTTGTCTTTCATAAAGGCCGAGGTCAGGGATCTTGGGCCTAAAAAGGTTGGTGACCACTGCATTAAATTAATCAAAAATGATGGTAAAGACATTTATAATGTAATATAAATTTTTCTTTTTAAATAAATGCTGTTCTTTTGAACTTTCTATTCATCCATCAGAGAATCGTGAATATATATATATATATATATATATATATATATATACACACGTACATACAGTATGTGTGTGTGTGTGTGTGTGTGTATGTATATCTCAGTTTCCACAAAAATACTAAGCAGCACAACTGTTTTCAACACTGATAATAGTAAGAAATTTTTCTGGAGCATCAAATCAGCATATTAGAATGATTTCTGAAGCATCGTGTGACACTGAAGACTGGAGTAATGGTTGCTAAAAAATTCAGCTTTTCCATCAGATATTTAAAATAGATTCAAGTAGAAAACAGTTATTTTAAATTGTAATAATATTTCATAATAGTACTGTTTTTAGTGTATTTCTAATCAATTAGATGTAGCCTTGGTGAGCAGAAGAGACTTCATGTAGTGCTTTCCTCTCAGTTCCATAGCCTTACATGAGCAAAATATGAAGACAAGGGCCGAATGACTTACTTATTATTGCACAGTATATGCACTCAGTCCTGCCTAAACATTGTAAGTGAAAAAATAGACATCATATAACATGGTTTCAAAAAATATTATACTGCATGATAAATAAACACATCTAGTTGCAAGATTTATTACCTTGAGAATAAATTTTAAAGTCTTCACTTTTGAAAGTCCAATCAAAAAATGAGTCAAAATATAGATGAATTTAATCACATTAGATGGGTCAAATTAAGCCAACCTAGTAGGTTATTTTAACCGACTAACCGTTTCTACAGTAAATGCTATATTAGTATGTATTAAAATATAGAATATAGTATAATGTGTAGTATATTATGTTATATAAAATATAGTATATATTAGTATGGTATTTAAAAAAAAAAAACAATGTCCTTGTCTCATAATCTGTGTATATCTTATGACCAGGTGGCAGCTTCTCAGAACAAGGTGTACCTGAGTGCAGACAGCCTCGTTTTGAACCTCCAAGACAGCTCTTTCAACAAGTAAGATCCTAACCAATGATCCTTACATACTTCTAAGCATTGCTTCTCCTTTCCACAATCAACCATGATCTTCAAAACTAACTGAAACATTCCCAGCTGTAAAAAAAAAAAAAAAAGGAAAATCTTCTCATGAAGTGTGTTGTTCTCTGATCGGAGAGCAGAGCAGTGCAAGGGCAACTTGACCTAACAGAGTCTAATACTATTCTCACATTGTTTTTTTCCCCCCCTCTTAAACGTAAATACTGAATGGGCTAAACACATATGCGTGTTTTGCCCAAAACTCTGTTACTTAAAATATTCTTTTCTGTTTATATTAATGCCCATATGTTAGCATGGTTCCCTCAGCGGTAATCTCTGCATTTGTCTTCTCTGTCAGGCTGTCACTAGGGAAATGAGGAGCATCATCCATGAAGAACATATGCATTCCATATGTAAGCAGTGTTTGCTGAGCCACTATATTTATGTCCCTTTCCTAAACGTGACTGTGAGCAGAGCCTCTCTCACAGTAAAGTTCTGCTGGGGCTCAGATAAGACATGAGTCTGGCAGCCATACAGATTCACATGTACCTGTTAATACACATTGATTCAGTCATTCGGGACTATTTTCTGGCACATTCAGCTTAAGAATTGGAGTTTTGGTATCAGATAGCTTTAAATGCTAATGGTGATCACAAAATATACACTGCAAATAATAAATGGTCACTTGTTCATTTATTCCTAAATGTCCCTATAAAGACACACAAATAAGATCCTGACCAGGGCCAGTAGCTAAAAAGTTGCTGATTGTTTACAGAACATTAAGCGTTTGATCAATCGTGATTAATTGCATCCAAAATAAACGTTTTTGTTTACATAGTGTATGTATGCATGCTGTGTATATTTATTATGTATATATAAATACACACACATGCATGTATATATTTCAGAAAAATATGCTGTTTATATATTAAATATATTTAGCACAGACCCACGGATTTACGGAACGCTTGAGAGCATGTTTCAACGTGATCCTCAGAAATAGGGTCTCTTGTGACTATTAAAATCTCACTGGATTAGAGTGAGTGCTCTTCAGGAGGGGTTTGAAAGGGCTTAATGCATTATCCCATTGGTAATATTCATGTGGAGGAGGAGAGTATCGGGAGGGTGGAGCCAGTGAAATACTGCATAAGACCACACCCCTTTTTTTTACCTCAGCCTATAGAATTCAGTGGTATTTTTTGAACGCAGAAACCCTTGATGAGTGATTTGCTGCGTTTTGTCTTATAGGTTGCCTATGGCATCTGTGTTATTAGAATATATTCCATATATCTAGTGCTGCTGTTCTTTTAACCTCATTTTGTGTGGTTTTGCCTAAACTGGTTCCGGTTTGATCTGATGAATGTGCTGCAGTGAACGCTATAATATGCAAATTTGAGCGGAGGAGATGCCTGTCACGTTCCCACCCTCCCTTTCCTCAATCCTCTCTTGCCCCTCCCCTCCCTGGCCATGCATAAACAACAGCAGATTACTACTCAGCTGGTCCATCTCCATAGCAACGCTGACCTCATGCTGGGACATCTGGGCCAGTCACCATGGCGATTCGCCAGGACAGTAGACTTGTTCTCTCTTACCTATAGCACGACATGCCTTCTGGAGGTCAACAGTACAACATACTCAGATCATGCTGTTTTTTTCCCACCATGCACTGTAGCGCTCCAGATAATTATTTGCTGTGCTGCAGCTCAAGAACCATGTTAGCGCTTGCTAACTGTGCGCTCATGCTAGATGTGTGACCTACATCCCACTTCAAAGTCGTGATTCTCTGCAATTTGTCTGCGGTGTCCTTGCCTCAGAATCTGATCTACAGAAATGCACACACTGAAGTTTTTGCTTAGTCATTTGCAATATATAAATGTTTCATATTTTAAACAGAATAAGCATACAAAAAACCCTGCAGCATGAATATATGCACCTCATATAATGAAGAGCATTTTATTATGTTCATAATACAATTGAGCATTGCAAGCCTAAGGAAAGAAATAGTTTAGTGCATTGAATCCACCCTCTTAGTTAAGTTTATTAACAAGCAAATAAAGATTCAGGAATTGAAGGAAACAACTTATGGCATCTTATTGTAAAATAACAAAAAAATGCATTGCTTTGTCCCAAATGCATTTTTTAACAGGATATTTTTTAATGTAGAACCAATTGGTATAGGTGGTTTTCATCAACCACAGTTAACCTGAAGGTGAGTTAGGTAATGCTTGGTGATACAGAAGCTACAGATCTTTTGTTTCCAGGTTGAATCCGCTCCCCTGGAGATGAATTGATGCCATCCGTAGTCAGAGAAGGCCTCCGCATTAATTTACTGAGTGGATTTAATTAACCTGTTTCTTTTTTGTGGTACCCTCATTATGGTGTCAAAAGGGATTTGGAAAGCTTGCCCTAGTTTGGTTAATATTGCTCCTTTTTTGTCTTCCTGTTTGCCATCGTTTAGGTCACACTCGAGGCAAACTTATGCAGAGATCCGGCCTGGCTTTGGTTTTCGTAGGTGTCGGAATTCTCTGTGCACCCTTTCCATGGACAATCCCCCCTATTTAAACGTGTGCTCTAATTGCAAATCCATGGACTGAAACGTTGAGAAATGGGTGTGCTGTTTTTATGCTTGCTGCTAGGAAACATTTGTGTCTTTGTTTCTTGCTATAAGAACAGGGATGCTAAGTGGAATATTGGAAGTGTGTTAACCTTAGCCTCTGGTTCACAAGTAGGCACAAAATTTGAATCGTGCCTTTTTGTGCGAGGAGCGACGATTCTCACATCATGGAGAGATGTGTTATGCAGTGAATGTATGGCTGTATAGTTCATGTGAGTTTTTAAAGGACAGGAGGAATTCGTGCTAATTTTGGACTGAATAGTTGTGAATATATTTAGTTTGTTTTATGCGACTTAATAGTTTCTACTCATGAATAGTGATTGAACTCAAATAAAGGTACTTTCTTGACATCTATGGTTCCATGAAGGACCTTGAATAACCATAAAATATTTCATCTGCACAAAAGGTTCTTTAAACTATTCAAATGTTCTTCACACTAAGAAAAAATGTTCTTTTAAGAACTGTTCACCAAAAGGTTCTTTCTGGAACCCAAAATAGTTCATGGCATCACAACAACAACATAAAAAATACCTATTTGGAACTTTATTTTTGTGAATGTTATACGGTACAATAGCCACATGCTTAAGGAATATTTTGGTCCTCTGCCTAAATTGAGAACTACAAATATCTGTAAAGACATTGAAGAGTATTTCTGCAAATCTTTCTTGTTTAGTTGAATATGTCTCCCGGCATTCTCTCAAAGACAAAGCAGGTTGGTTTTATCATATTTTTCCAAAGTAGCAGCAGCAGCTTCCTCTTTCATTGTATGTCAGGAAACAGGCCCTCAGTCCCTCCATGTCGGTTCCCACAGGTGCAGCGTCTGCACATCAGTCTCGGTGCACGTGGCTGTCCTCCGTGTGGACAACTGATAGAAGCTGCTATTCAATTCTGACTGCGATTAGCACAATGGCCTGCTAACATTAGTCAGCTTGTGACATTTTCCTGTTCAACTCTCAGTCACTAAATTCTAATGGTGCTATTTTGAGTGTTGTTTTCCATCTAGGCAAGTTTAGCTGCAAAACAAGAACAACAAAAAACTTGAACAAAATCCAAAGTTCCTTTGGATTGGATGGTGGCAAATCTTAATTCCAGGCTGAAGTTGTTTGTAAGGAGGTGTAGGGTTTATGCAGACAAAATGATTGGAGAAGTTGGGTACACGTAACCAGAGAAAAGTTGTTTTCACTGGAAGATTGAGTTATGACATTGTGATGAAACCCAAATAAAATGTTGAAACATAAAAAGATAAATAGTTCAAAATAGCTGTTTTCACTTACACAAGTATAGGCCCTATCTACTTGAATGGGGAAAGACTGAATGAATCCTCCAAAACTCTTGTTTCTGGAATCTGGAATCTTGCTTTAAGGGCGAAATATTTCCTAGTGCAGATTTTGCATTGGGATCAGGTTGGTCACGCAAATTCACCAACAGATATCTGCTTGATTTGACAGTGACTTCTGTGTCAGCTGTGCTTCTTGCATTGCTAAAGTTTTCACAATATAGCTTTTTGTCTGCAAAATTTTGCTGAAGTGACCTCACTTTAAGGCAGTTCTTTCTACAGCCTCCAAATTGTGTTATGACTTTTCCTGTTCATTTTTATATGAGCAGACAACTCCTCCATTTCATATCTCTGACTCTGCTTAGATGTACAATCACATGACAGTTTTATGTGTTTATGTAAGGTTTTGTAAGGACAGTTTTATGTGTTTATGTAAAGTACAAGACTCTTGTTACATGCCATAGGATCTGTGGCATCTTACCTTCCTTCTGCTTTAGGTTAAACAGACCCCTGTGTGTTTATCAGGTCTACTCCCACTAATGACTGTGTTTGGCACAGATGGTGAGCACTGGGGGTCTCCAGGCTTTGACATACTGAGTCAAGGCTGATTAACGGAGTCTCTCAGGGCTCTTCCCCTGTGTGATTACATGGCCCAAAGCCAATATGGAGGACTTTCCCAATGATGGCTTACTTTACAATTAAATGGGGCACATTTAGTTGTCATTAAAACCTATTGCTCTAATTAGGTGAATAATCGTATACTAACCATAATTGCAATATAGATCTACATCTCAAAAGGATATTTATATTCATCTCAGCAACAATTAAGCCTCAAAATCAGCTCAGTTAGTTCATAAACTCAATGACTGCAATCAACACAGCGCATAATTAAGGAAACAAATATTACTATTATTTTAGCCAATAGCCATGCTGTGATAATGTATAAACTATCACCTCAACTCTCACTTATGATGAGTATTTACTGCGCAGTTCAGCAGGACACTCCCATGCTTCTGTTGCTGGCCCCCAAGAGTTTCAAGTTACAACAAGAGGGGGGAGGGGCCATGGAAGGAGAGAGACCCTTATTAGCAAATTTTCCCTCCTTTTTCCTATACCAATTCAAGTATGTTTCAGACATTGTTTTCCATTTCTATTTTTTTTTAAACAAATTCTAATATATATATATATATATATATATATATATATATATTTCTTCTTGAGTGGAATTATATTATTAAATTTGATCCCTAATGACTTCCTTTGTCTGTAGATTGGGTCCCAGAGTTGTCTAGTGAAAGCTTAAAGTATTTCTTGCACTTCCTGCAATGATTTATAATGCTCATGATAACGTAGCCCCCTGGTGTTTCTCAATATGCCACATTTTAAATTAGCACAACATTTTTGATTCCTTGAAACTTCTCTAAGGACCCAACCTTCACCTCACTCAGAGATAAGTATTATACGTTGGACCGCCTTCTTGTAGTACATACATTTGCTTTTGTAAGTAGCCTAATGGGGGAAGGGAACAAATGTGTAAGATGAAGTACCTTCAAGGCACAACAAACACCAAATGTAGTGTACTTTATTTTTAAAGATAAATTATAGGACTTAATTAAAGCACAGAGTTAAACTTCACAGGATTTAGCAAAAACACAACATGCAAGAACATGATGAACTGCACCTGTAACATTCCTTTCACCCTCAGGTGAACTGATTTTTCTACTGGGTGGTGTAAAGCTAGTTTAATCGAGGTTTAAAACATCAGTCATTCAACCTAAAGCTGGCATCTTTTTTTAAAATAAGTTAATTTGTATAAAACACCTTTCCGAGCGAAGTCTTAAACTATCGAGGTTATAATATTAACGGTCTGTCACTTCAACCGTTTGTACCTGTTGTATAATTCCGCGAGGAAGCGGATCCAGATGGTGCTCC